CATAATTCAGAAAGTGATTTTACAAGGATTCTCAAATGTAACTATGATTATATCGCGTTTCCTTCTTCATGTTACAAATAAATGCACAAAGACATAATATCCTGACCAAAGTGTGGTATAGGGTATAATTATGACTAAAAGTTCGTTTACACTTACTAAATCGAGTGGATTTCAATAGTTGAAGTCCTTCTAAACTTCATTGCAGATTTTCTTCACCAAAATCAATACTTAAAAGCTTAACCGGAATCATTATCCTAGGTCCTGTGACATTAAAGCTCCATCTGTCGTGGATTTATATAGCAACCATCTCGTGGTGAGTCAAATACGGTTCAGGAGCTCTTCAAATAATGCTGATACCATACCGATTTGCAGTTGCACATTTACCAAAATATCACGCCCATTAACATTACTTTATATGACTATTAGCTGTCTTATATAAAAATGTTTCAAAGAATACCCTTTAAAATGTTAAAATTCCCACAAACACCATTCAAGCGTTTTTCAGCTTTCACACTTTAAAATGTCCTTACATAAACTATGTCCCCCACTTGTTTGTTCATATATACGATTATGTAGTGTCTCTAACTTACTAATGGGAATAACAAAGGGATGGCAGAGATTTTGAGGTATTCGTTAGTGCAAATGATACCATTATTTCACTTTGCTCGAGAATAAATACCGCATTGGGATATTACCCAATTTGTTAGGGGATTAACTGAAAAGAAAAGTGTGCCGCTCCATTTCCTCTGTTGAGGCCCTTCCCTCTCCCCCCTCCTTTCGTTATATGCTACCACCAGACAATATGAACTTCCTGGGTTTTCTTTCGACATTTTTGAAATAATAAACCTTTCTCTTTTGATGAATGAAATAATCTCTGCCATAAGGATATCCGTATACGGATGTTAATAGTACCGCATTACAACAACAACAACAGTAACAACAACTACGACTACTACTACTTCGACAGACTACATATTCTCAAGTGGATTTTTCCCATTTGAAGGTAAAATGAAAGTAAAAAACCTAAGAAGCTTATGACAAGGGGAATTATTTACAATCCATTGCTTTTAAAGAACTATTTCCATTCATAGTTTCATTGCATTGTGAATGTGTGGATGTAAGTGTATATGTGGGAACGTGCCTGGGTGTGGTAGTAAGTTCGTGTCCGTAATACTTAATTGTTATTATTCTTGGCAATTTTTGCGTATTTCTTTCGTCGTTTCTTTAATTTGCTATTTGTTACGTTTTTATATTTCTACTGAAAAATGTTTCTATTTTTACTTGAAATCGAAGAAAAGAACTTCACAAGACAAAGATTTGTTTCGTACCTACATAAATAGAATTGGTTATACAGTAAAAAGTCTGGAAAAAACTGTATGAATTAAAAACTTAATAAATTAATTAATAAACTAAATTATTTAACTAACTATGAATAGATTTGGTCCGAACATGACAGACTTTGTTCTAGCCGCATCATAATTTTATAATCCAACATTCTGCCTAGTTGGACAATCGTAACATAGTAGGACCCCAAAAAATATAAATATATATTCTTGATCAGCATAAAATTCTATTTCGATTTAGCGATGTCTGTCCGTCTGTGGAAATTTCCTTCCTTCCCATTTTCGGTATTTCCGTGATTTAAGCGACATTATTTACCGGAAATATTTCAAATTTGGTATTTGAAGTTTGTAATGGTCTTCGTATAGCTCCCGATATTCGGAATTTTGATGAGCTTAGGGACTTTATTTGTGGGAATTGTTTCAAATTCGGTTTTTGTAGTTGGATACTACAGAAAATTGTCTATTCAGGTCCACGTCTCCGTATAGCCCCCATATAATGGTACCTCCTTATATTCCGTATTTTGACGATTTTAGCTACATTATTCACGGACTTTTTTTCAAGTTTCGCATTTGAATATTGTATTGGCTTATGACAAAAGTTGCCTATGCAGGTCTACGTCATATACATTTGGTATTTTTAAAATTTTAAAAGTATTTTTGACAGATTTTTTTGAAAATTGCCGAACTTACAGCTTTTTTACCTGTTACCAAATTTAGATCGAGTTCGGAAATTTTTTCTGTTACTTGCCCCACAAAAGTTGCCTATTTTCACAGAATATAAATTAACTCTAAAAACAGAAACGATTATCAAATTTTGTAAAAACTTTGAAATTCCCAATATTCTTAGCAGTCCTAGATCGGGTGTGAAAATGGACAGTATCAGCCCACTGCTTTCAGTACCATCCCTACACGGGGTCTACATTTTGAATAATCATAACTCTTATAAAATGTGAAATTGTCTTTCAACTCGGCAAATCTCAATATATCTATCAACACAAGATCTGGTGTGAATATGGTAGAAATCTGCGCACTATTTCTCGTACTTCCCCCACAAAGGGTCAAAACGCTCATAAAATGTGATATAAATAACTGATTCCTCCTAAATTTCCAATATTCCAATATTTCTACTAAAAGAATGTGTTGTAACATTGGAATATATCGGATCACTCCTTCTGGTACCTCCCTCACAAAGGCTTACAATTTTCATTACTTATAAGTCATAATTTTTGGAACAACTCAAAGATTCTTTTCAGAATTGGTATATCTGAATATTTCTCTCAACCAGATATGTGGCGTGATCATCGGCCTAGCTCCGGTGCAGGAACATTGTATGTGTAGGTCCATATAACAGTATCACTCGCTTTATGGTTTTTTGATAAGTTTAACTGCATTATCCAAACGGCCCTACTGATATGTGAAGTTTAAATGAAACACGCTTGAATTCAAATACTTTTATATAAAAAGTATAATTTACCCTAAGGTGGAGTGTAGTTAAAGTTCGGAGCGGCCGAATATTTTTTAATATTTTTTTGAGTTTTGCCTTGTTAAGGCGAAGATCATATGTTTTATGATTTATGTGTTTGTTTTCTCTTTCGAGACGAGCTTAATGATCTGAAATTTGCAGTGAAAAGGAAAGCCAGATAGACACTATCACACACTCACCACTATGCGACGCGTTTCGCCGTTGGTTAAGCGGCTCATCAGGCATATTTGGTGTGGATGATGGCTTACAAGGGCCGTTCTCTGGAAAGTAGTATATATTTCGAACTTATTGCAAATTAGCATATGCGAATTATACACTAGAAACTCTCCAGTTTCGACTCAAGTTCTATTGGCAGATCTTTTTCACAGCAAAGTTTTTTTGTTTTTGTAGTGATGGATTTTTTCTGCCATATAGAACTTGAGTCGAAACTGGAGAGTTTCTAGTGTATAATTCGCATATGCTAATTTGCAATAAGTTCGAAATATATACTACTTTCCAGAGAACGGCCCTTGTAAGCCATCATCCACACCAAATATGCCTGATGAGCCGCTTAACCAACGGCGAAACGCGTCGCATAGTGGTGAGTGTGTGATAGCGTCTATCTGGCTTTCCTTTTCACTGCAAATTTCAGATCATTAAGCTCGTCTCGAAAGAGAAAACAAACACATTAATATTTTTTTATTTGGTAATATAATCCTTCTCGAAGTGATATCATCAATGAACTCGATTGCAATGTTATTTGGTATGAGAGGTATAAATGCCTCCGTCATATGTGGTGAGAATCGTTTTTCTGTTGGATATACTTCCCATATATGATCTAAATGATCTAAAGTAATGATATACATTCTAATAAGGTTCACAGATGGAATGATCTACTTCACATAAATTTTCAATATATGAATAGTGGTATCTCAATGGTCGGCCCGATGTACCGTTATACCTACTTTAACTTTATTAAAAATCAATACTAGCATATAACAAAGGCCATGGATTCGGGAAATTAAAATTCAAAGTACGTGGAGTATATGTTTGGTTGCTGGGAAATCATAACGTCATAAATTAAACCATTGTTATCCAAATAGTAGACCTGAATAAAAATCCAACTGTGTGAAGGAAATTATAAGGTATATTGTAAGGCCAGGCGAAAAATTAATATTGATGTATACTCCCACATTTGTCATATGTGACCATGATCTACCACCGGAGAACCAATTATGAACTAGAAATACCAATTTTTAGACAAATCCGTGGAAAAATGTGGAAAAATCTTCTAAAAACTGAATATCCATAGGTACCATTATGTGGCGGCTATACAAAAACGTCCTATATATAGTTTGTTTTACAAATACCAATTTTTAGACAGATCTGTGGAAAAAATGTGACAAAAATAGTAAAAATACCGAATATCGGGAGGTACCGTTATATGGGGGCTAAACAAAAACGTGGACATATACACACAATGTTTCGAATAACCGGAGGTACCGTTATATGGGGGCTATAAAAAACGTGGACCTAAACATACAATGTTTCGCCATCGGAGCTAGAACCCATTATGAACTACAAATACAAATTGTTATACAAATCGGTGAAAATTGCGCCTACCAAGACGTGAATCGATTTTCAATCATATATGTATATGTAAGGAGACGGGCGGACGTCGCTAAATCGACCTAGAATTTTATTCTGATCATGAATATTTATACTTTATGGAGTCTGCAACGAATATTTAGTGATGTTACAAACGGAATTACAAATTCATGAAATCAAGAAAGTGATTTTCCCTCATTTTTTCATCTAATCATGCCAGCACTTTTTGCATGAAAATATTTTTTTTTGTCGGAAGAAATATTATCTTTATGTTACACTAACACCACAGCTCACCATGCTACCGCAGCATTTGGCGTAAGTTCATAAAACATTACAAAATGACAGTTATTAAAAATCTCCTGCATATCTAGCATGTTAAAGATGATAAATAGGCAAGAAAATTAGATTTGAGTAATTTTTCATATTTATCTGTGTATGACATTAAGAAATATTGTTCGCTCTGTCTTTTTTGGTTGCCATTTCGTGATATTAATGTGCGACCTTCATAATTAAAGCTCATTAGTAATCGTCTTTATACAGCTTAATTATTCTAATTAATTATTTCTTTTTATTTCTCGAAATTTCAGACATCCAGTCATGTAGCTGCACGAGAACAAAAAAACACGTACATCCATCATAGTTGCCAACACGAACCGAGGCTAGAAAGAGAGAGCGAGAGGCGACAACTGAAGAAATACAATAAAATGCCATTTTCATGTCCTTACGTGACTCCCACCCAACACAGAAGCGTGTGTGAAGGCGAACGAACACAACAATGAAATGTTTTGCAAACAATGCTCGAGAGAACAATAATTTTTAGCAAATCTTTTAATGTTCGAATGACACAGAGGCCATCATCAGCATCATTATTGTCGTCACCGAAAAAAAGAACAAAACTTGACAATAATACGAACTGAAAAAAAACTTACACGACAAATGAAGCCAAGTGCACAGCAAACATGAAATGTCCCATCTTAAGTGGGTCCCAACGTCAAAATTAATTGCTGCTCCTAGATTTGTTAATGTACTCGAGCGTCAAGAAAACGAAGGGGAAGGAGAAGCAAAAGACGCCAACTAAACTGTAGTGAACAGAACAGAAGAGAATTGAAAAGTGGCATGCTCTACTACTTCAATGATTAGAACAAAACGAAAAAGACGAGACCATGTTTTCCGAGCACAAACAACGAATGAGTAATCAAAAACACCAACAGTCACCGAAAAGTCTGAAGAATGTCCTGACCTGCCTACTTGTTACAATACTGCTGCTGTTTGAAGGACATGGCATAGGGGCAACACCCATAACTAGATTAAGAAGACAACAGCAGCAGCAACAGCAGTCGGGGTCATACCATCAGCATCATCAAAATCACAATCTTCCACAACAATTATTGCAGCAGCAGCAACAGCAACAACAGCTGTATGAACATGAACAGCATCATCATCATCGCCAACAACAACAACAACAGCAGCAGCAAAAGTTTCAAGAAACAAGTACTCCGGATTGTGAGCACAAAAGTTTGGTTGAACTCATCAAGACTAGTCCCATAATACTTAAAGCTTTGGGTTCCCACATATTTAGTCCGGCCAGCAACATCAACGACGGCGACGACAATAACAACAACAACTATGATGAAGATCTCCATGTCGGACTTGGTGACGATGATGTGTTATTATCGTCCTGGCAAAGTGAACAAATTCAATTTGCCAGATACAAAGCGACTTCATCATCGCCATCGTCATTGTCGGGTTCATCCGTCTATCCAGCCTCCCAGTTGCATGCAAAAAGTCGTCTGCTGGAAGAGCAGAGACAAAAGGCCAGCGAGCTGAATTCCCTTGACATGATGACGGCAAAAAGCGACGCCCTTCTGTCCTACTCATCCTCGAATAGCGATGCCCTTTTAATAACATTGACACCGGACACCATCTACAAAGGAGCCTCACTTCTAAAAACGGCAACAAATGCCGCAGTGACTCCAGCCAATACTCGGAATGCAGGTAGTTCAGCTTTTGGCAGTAACGGTGGTGGTGGTGGCAGCAGTGGTTCCAATTCTGCTGATACGGCCGATGCAGCCAATGATGGTGACACATTGTATTCATCGTCGGAATCTGCAGTTGAAGGGTAAGTGAGGAAAAAACAAAACTCGAGGATATCATTAGTTTGAAAATCTTAAAAAGAAAAGTATATCAAAATGGATTTAAAGATTATTTCAGAAAGGTGTTGGAAATTTAAAGAGTTGAGGTTCAAATATGAGATGAGAGGTTGAATTATGAGGACAATATTTTATTGAAATTATTATGATCACGACGCTATAAAGGTCAATGACCATGACCTTTACAAGTAATACCCGTCACCTTAAAGAAATTAAAACATTTGAAATTACCCGTTTACACCCATTCAGATTTATATTCAGTTCTACTGCAAAGTAAGTTGAAAACTGAGGTTAACTCGCAGAGTTTGTTACAGATATCAATTGCCCGCAGACCTGAAGGGATGGATATATGCGTCACTCCTTCCTCAAGCGCTACGGTGGCTTTTTGCTGGACTGGACTTCAACGGGACCTTCCGTGGTGAGGTTTTTCTAAACTCGCGTCTTTTCCTGGTGGCTTGTAACAAATCACAGTGTCGTCTATCTTTAGGACACAGTTCTTTAGTGTCTTCGGATGACTCACTTAGGTTGTGTATGCTGTCCCGAATGTTTTATTTTCGGCTTAGCGTTTCTGGTATTTTCAATTCACCACAATGGGTGTTGTGGAGATTCCTTTGAAGGAATTTTGACTGGCTGCCCTCGCTGCTACTTCTGACAAATCGAAAACAGTATATCTCACTTTTATACCCTCCATCATACATAGTATGGAGGGTATATTAAGTTCGTCATTCCGTTTGTAACTCATCGATATATATAATAATAATCACTTTAGACCTAACAAAGTATATTTATTCTTGATCAGCGTGAAATTCTAATATGATTTAGCCCAGTCCGCGTTGTAATCACGCTAGAGTCAAATTAAGATAGGAAGCTAATATTTTGCACAAATCAGTTTTTATTGTACATGAACATCACGGCACCACCCCTCCCCCCATATTCGGTATTTTGATGATTTTAGCCACATTTTTTTTAATTGAATTGTCTGAAATTCTACACAAGGGGTTCTTTGTGGGTACTGCACCGTCTGTAAGAGAACCGTCTATATAAGTCTACGATTTCGTATTTCCCCTTTATCACGGTACCATCCGATATTCGGTATTTTCATAATTCTAGCCACATTTTCAATGGAATTGTCTGCAAATCCACACAATGAGTTTCTTCTGAGTAGTTTACCCCTTGGTAGAGAATTATCTATATAGGTCCACGATATCGTATAGCCCCCATATATCGGTACCCCCAATATTCGGTATTTGGATGATTTTAGCGATATTTTTGACGGGAATTGTTTCAAATTTCGTATTAAAAGTTAAAAGCTCGTTAAGGGTACTCCTATGACGGAAAATTGTCTATGCAGGTCCACGTCTTCGTATAGCCCACATATAACGGTACCTCCCTTTATTCGACATATTGATGATATAAGCAAATTATTCACCGGAATTGTTTCAAATTTGATGATGTTAGCGACATTATTGAAGGGATTTTTTTTAATTTCGTACTTGAAGTTCGGAATCGGTATTACAGCTTATGATAGAAAAATACTTATGCAGGTCCACGTCTTAGTATAGGCCCCATATAACGATTTTCATTTAAGTGGTATTTTCGACGGATTTTTTTTTTTAATTTTTCAAGATCCTTCAAAGTGGTGGAGAGTATTAAGTGTTCGGCCCGGGCGAACTTAGCTGCTCTTTAAAACTTCTTAAAGTAGGTACATAAATATAAGTACATTATTTGTAAAATATGACTAAGTTTCCATATATCTAAGTGATCTTAATACTTAAAAGAACAATTTCAGCTGTCTTCCTACGCTATATCTCAAATTTAATAGCTTTAAATACTTTTCGTCCTTTTTATAGTAAGCATTTGCATGTGGAAGTTCGTATCTAAAACCTACAACATAGTGATCCTAATACCGACAATTATTTTTTCGTCTCTATTCCTACACTTTATTCCAAATTTAGTAATTCGTACTTTTTAGAACATACCTCCTAAACCCAAATCTACACAAAACTCAAACATTAACTCCAAATATCAACTCTACACACCAACAGTCACCCTAATGACAAATTTCAGAATTTTAGCTCGTTTTGTTTGATCAATAAATGGATTCAATTTTTAATTCCATTTAGTTATCTAAGTATAGTTATTTTTTGAATTTTGAAAATCACAGCCTTATCTCACGCCTTAACAAAAATATTGCATCACATGCAAATTTTCAAGATTCCAGCTTTAACCAGTACGCTTGAGTGTTGATGAATCAGACAGCCACCCAAAAAAAAGGAAATACAAAGTATATGCCGGCGCATTCCTTGTAAGATGAATTACTTTTCCTAAATGTTGTCAAACAACATACCTGAAAGATCAACAGACAATTTATTAAATAAAGTGGTCTCCATGAATTAAAAAAAATCGTCGGCAGAGGTTCAAAATTTTTGGTTTTTTAAGTTATACATGCATGTTCTGGAACACCCAGTGTATCCAATACAAATTACATATACACCTCACCGTATCGTATTTCAATATTTCTAGTTTGTCCAACATTACAATTTCTTAATATTTGCTAAATTTGTATTTAATTTTTTTTTAAAGAAGTCAAAGACAAAAGTTCTACATTTATTTAGCCCAAGAAATTAGTAAATTGTAATTAATTCCAAGAATTACATAGATTGTCCAAGAATTAGGAAATGCCTGATGATGCACCAATTTGCCCATGCATTATTTTAAAACCGAAGAGTACCCCCTATCTACAAAAGTCCATATGTCTGTGAGGGAAAATTATTGAGCTGTTTATCGGAATTTACCATTAATTTTGGTCTTTTGCTTGTCAAGAATTAGATGATAGTCTAATGGTCATGAAAAATGATTATCAGTATAAATTCCTTGATCATTTATAAGGGGCTTAAGAAGGGACTTCTAAGTGCTAGGGAACTATTTGCATTGTCAAAAAATACCATTACAGTACCATGTGGGGTTTTAACCAAAAAATACCATTACAGTACCACATGGGGATATAAAAATTAGAAGGCTCCTTTAATTATAGTCTGCACCAAAATCTGGATCTGTATTCATGTTATTTTGCTAAGAGAGTCTCTAGCTAATAAGAAGTCAATTTTGGCGAAATAAAATTAATAATATCACTACAACGTAAAAAATATATATATATTTATATAAAAATATAAAATTATATAGAGACTATACCAAATTGTGGACCAACATGGATCATTTTTTGAACTAATGATTCTTGAAGTAATCCAAAGTCTTCTTTAAATTTTCAAAACTCTTTGTATATTTACATTTGTGAACTATATCTCAATATATTGGGCTCCTTTCGTATAGGTTCAACATTTTGTAAAGTTTTTATATAGTCTTAAAAAGTATGGCTTACAAATGCAAAACTCGTTTGAGATTTTATCTACAAACTTTGTAGTACTAAATCGACTTGATTTTTTTTTTACAATCCAGTGTGATTATTGGTTAGTAAAATTATAAGAAAATGTGATGCGTAAACGTAAAAAGTGCTAAATTAACAGAAAGTAAAGAAGTTATTTTATAAACTAAAATGTATGATATTATTCTCTGGTACATGACAATTTTCTGTGCAGACAATTTTCTGTTTTAGGTTGTAGTATCCATTAGGATCTTCAAGTTCGAAATTTGAAACAATTCAAGTGAATAATGTTACTGAAATCATCAAAATACCGAATATCGGGAGGTACCGTTATATGGGGGCTATACGAGGACATAGACCTGCATACAAAAATTTTTGTCATAGGCTGTAGTACCCATTACGAACTTCAAATACGAAATTTTAAATAATGCCGGTAAATAATGTCACTGTAATCATGAAAATACCGAATATCAAGAGGTACCGTTATATGGGGGTTATACGAAAACGTGGATCGACATGGCCCATTTACGAACTAAACCTGCCTACAAATTTTTATCCTTCTATCTCAATTCGTTCGAAAGATAGCGTGATTACATCAGACAGACAGAAAGACGGACATCACTAGATCGTCTTAGAATTTTACGCTGATCCAGAATATATATACTTTGTAGGGTCTATTATGTATATTTCGAGGAGTTACAAACGGAATGACAAAGTTAATATATCCTCCATAGAATGGTGGAGGGTATAAAAATATATGTCGGAGCCGAGTTGCACAAAATGAAAACGTACGTCCCAAAATTCACTGCATTTGGGCTGATATTAGCCATTATTTGCACAATAAACCTTAAATCGGATTAAGGATATATATGTAGCCATATCTAAAGCTTAGCCGTTCTCGATAAAATCTTGCAAATGTATTTCCGATCTTTGTAAGAAATTTGGTACCAAATATCATTGTAGTCGAATGCATATTACGAATGCGAGGTATTTTATACCCCAAATAGGATAAAACATATATATGGGAGCTATAGCTATATCTGAACCGATTTACACCAAATTTTGATGAAGTTACTTCTAGTCTGAATTCAGTGGGATGTACCAATTCACGTCATTTAAGTACATATTAAGCTTTAGTATATTTGGTTAGAATTTTAGTAAGATTTGGTGTTTCTCTTTATTATTTTCCTGCATTTGTAGTAAGCGAAGGTGTATAGGACCACCAGTAATAGTATGGAACCATATTGATGGGTTTTCTTTAAAGGTTAACGATTTAATATCTGCAAAAACCAGCCAATTATGTCATTTAAAAATAAAGAATATCTGTTCAACAAATAAAACCAGTAAAGAAAGTCTTAAAGTCGGGCGAGGCCGACTTTATGATACCCTACACCACTTTGCTAATTTAGTAGAGCTCCACATAACAATTAAATCGATCGAAGTAAATCGAACGGAGTTATTTGGCAAATATATTTCTGAGCTGTATTTGATATATTTCCCCAAATATTGTTGTTGCAGAATGCATATTACGGCTGCGAAGAACAAAAATAACAAATCGAATGAACGATATATACTGGAGCTATAGCTATATCTGAACCGATTTCAAATTTGTCATACTTATTTTTAGGCCTTATTTGGATCTATATGCAAAATTCCATACTATTCGGGCTGATATTACACGTTTGGTGCATAATAAAAGGCAAATCGGACGAAGATATATATGGGAGCTATATCTAAACTTTTACCGATTATCTTCAATTTCAATAGGGTTCGTCCTTGGCCCAAATGATCTGTGCAAATTTTCATCTGAATCGGGCAATAAATGCGACCTGTACTTTGTTTACAAAAATACATGGACAGACGGACAGACTGACGGACGGACGGACATGCATAAATCGACTCAGAATGTGATTCTATGCAGAGCATCAAAAGGAACTATGGGTCTATCTCGTTTCCTTTTGCCTGCTACCAACAAATGCACAAAGACAATACCCTGACCACCTTGTGGTGTAGGGTATAAATATTATATTCGTTTAACAGATACGAACTTTTGGTATGGAAAATCGATTCTGGATCATACTATTTATTTCCACTCTGCCTCCAAGGTATCGAAACATACATTTTATGTGGGCTAACGATCAAAATAAAATAAATTGAAAATTTACTTTTCCTGTATTCGGATTTTGGTACTCAGACATCTTAAATTGGTCCACTATTCCGATGAATATGATATTTTGCAACTCGATTTATTTCTGTCGGAAAATAAACAAAATGTACACATTTCGAATTTTAGCTTATATATTCGTTTGTGTTAGCTTTCAACTCAACAAAAAATAACTTTATTTAATTATCACATCAAACATTGTTTTTACTAAATGTGTTTTCAAATCTATATATATTTGAAAATTAAATAATTTCAAATAATGTTATTTGTTTGTCTTCTCTAATCCACAATTTGCAATAGCTAAACATGTTTATTATACTTCAGCTACATCCAATTTAATTTGACTTTACCTCCCTTCTGTTTTTCATTTCATTCGGCAGACAATTAAATGCAACCATAGAACCATTATCGTGTTTCGATGAAAACTTATTAAAAATGTTGCCGACTGATTTAATTATTTTCGGTGAATTAATAACAATGGACCAGCAACAACAACAGCCCAACCACCAACATCAGCAACAATCACATCAACAGCCTTTCGACCTATTGAATGCCCCCCGTCACAGTTACTCAATGGAAACGTCACTTCCATCCTCATCGTCATCCGTCCATCAGCAGTCGCAGCAGCAACGACAAAAACAACACCAGCCATCACAACAAACAAAACAAATTCTGAGGGTCAGCATAAATGGCCTACACCGATGGTCAGCACAATTTGAAAGTTTCATTTGGACACATTTGGGTAAGATTGCAATTATGTGGTGAGGTACATTTGTTTAGAAAACGAACTGTAAACAACAATTTAACTGCGTAATGTTTTATTAATAATATTAAAATGTTTGAGGAAACCCAAAGGCATATATTTGATCGAATTTTACGATTTTGTAATCTATTTAATGGTCATTTACATCGAATTTATCGTTGTCTATTGAGAAATATGTTGGGAAAGAATGAGTGAAAATTTAGATTAGATTTTGCAATCATGAATTTAGTCTAGAATTTTTCCTTATTTAAATAAATTATATAAGAATTCACTGCTTCAAAGATATAGGATAGGATAGGATAGGATAGGATAGGATATACAAGGATACAGTTTATAGAGCTGGGTCATTGGGCTTAGTACCAGGTTGTTACTACAGGGATTTTTAATGGTTTTTGAGTAAAACAATTTAGCCCAGCCCAAATTGTCATTACCTAATGCTGCGTCCCTTCAACAATTTGCTTACAAATCAAGGTAATAATCCCTTATTTTAAATCCGGGGTATGCCATCGTAATAAGTGACTACTTAAGGTGAAGTAATAATAATCTATATTAATAAAATAGTAAAGTAATTGACTGACTGATTGACTAATTGATTCATCAACGCCCAAACAAAACGTCTGAAACTAAAATCTTGAAATTTTGGCTGAGGGTCACTCTTGGTTCGAAGGGGTCAGATGAGGCTGGATTTTCGAAAATTCGTACTAGAACGGCACGAAAAGTATAAAAAGGCACTAAATAGCAGTATAAACAAGTAAAAAAGCTGTAAGTTCGGCCGGGCCGAACTTTGAATACCCTCCACCACTTGGTACAAATTTTGAAATTTTCAAATAAATAAAATCGGTTAAAAATTCTGTTAAAATCTTAAAAATACCGAATGTAGCCGTACATAAGGGTCTGTACGACGACGTGGACCTGCATAGGCAACTTTTGTCACAAGCTATTACAATATTCAAATGCGAAACTTGAAGAAAATCTGTTTATAATGTAGCTAAATTCATCAAAATTTCGAATATAGGGAGGAACCATTGGAGTTGTAAAACGTGGACCTGCACAGACAATTTTTTGTCATAGGCTGTAGTAACCATTACGAACCTTCAATGCGAAATTTGTAACAATTCCGGTAAATAATGTCGCTAAAATCATCACAATACCGAATATCGGGAGGTACCATTATATGGGGGCTATACGAAGAAGTGAACCTACATGGCGCATTTTCTGCTTTATGCTGTAGTATCTATTACGAACTTCAAATACCAAATTTGAAACAATTCCGGTAAATAATGTCGCTAAAATCATCAAAATACTGGATATCTGGGGGTACTGTTATATGGGGGCTATACGAAGAAGTGGACCTACATGCTGTAACTTAATATACCCTCCATACTATGGTGTAGGGTATAAAAGGCACTAGAAGGAAGCAGTAGAGCTAGAACTCTTAAATCTGGAATGAGGCCCACTGATGGAGTGAGTGATTGATGTACCAAAAGGATTTTGGAAAATCGCATTATAAGTGTACGAAAAGTACAAAAAATAAAATATATATGAACGGATAGAGCTAAAAACTTGAAATTTGGAATGGGAATGAACGTTGAGGAGTAGGGTCGATGTAAGGAGGTAGTTTTGGAAGTGTGTACGCATACCAAAGAAGTACTAAAAGATACTAAATTTGGTTCAATTTTAATTTGGATGAACGGATGGAGCTGGAGTCCTTAAATTTCAAATTAACATTACTGGCGGAGTGTAAGATTGGAGTATGGAGTACTAAATTTGGTACAATTTCGATTTGGGTGAACCGATAGAGCTGGAATTATTAAATTTGAAAATAAGATTCTTTGGCATTGCAGGAATGGGGTATGTAGGTAGTCTTGGAAATTTCTACTTAAGGGTACTAAATGTTACCATACTTGGCAAAATTTAAATTTTGGGAGAACCGATAGAGTCGGAATTCTGAAATGTGGAAATAAGATTTCTTTTGTATTCTAGGACTGATAAATGTAGGAAGAACTAATAGAGTTGGAAACCTGAAATTTAAAACTAAAATTACTATTGCATTGCAGGGCTGTAGTATGAAGGGGGTTTTGGAAATTTGTACTTATGTGTGCTAAATGCTACTCAATTTGGTACAATTTAAATTTTGGGTAAACGGGTAGAGTTGGAAGCCTGAAATTTGAAAATAAGTTAGTACTTATACAAAATTTAGTATTGATCGTAAGAATAGATTTCTGAGTATTGGTGTTTGGGAATTGGTGTGTTGTGTTGAGATATGCAGGTGGTATTGAATATATGTACAGTAGATGTATGAAAGGTATTAAATGACACTAAAATTTTAATTGTGGTCGATGTTCGTGTGTAGGTTTGAGATATGAAGTGGTTTTTGGAACTACTTACGAAAAAGTACTAAATTGTACTAAATTTGCTATTTGGGTAAAGAATTACCTTTGAAGTCTAAAATTTAGAATTAGGATCACCTTTTGTGCGAATTGGTTGATATATGGCGGGGAGCTGGAAATAAGTACTAGAAAGTACGGAAATTATAGTATAAATAGGTACCATAACCTGGGGAAGAAATAGAAATGTGTACCAAAAGTATTAAAGTGCACTAAATTTGGTACCATTTGGAATTATATAAACGGATAGAGAAAGAACATTGAAATTTGATATGAGAATCAAGTGTGAGAAATAGTGTTGATATGAGGAGGTGATTTTGTTATATGTGGTATAGTACTTGAAATTTCAAATTTGTCATTAGGCTTGATTTAGGGTTGAGAGGTGGATATTATTCATGCAATTTATACCTTGATATTAATAAATTGTGGTTATTTATTTAATGCATTCTATTTAAGGTAAAAATATCTCTTAATATAAATTCAGTAGCGGGCACTTGCTAGTAATTATTATTTTCTTCCTTTGCCCAGGAAGAGAGGCTTTTAGAGACTCATTGCATCCCCTCAAGATATTCATCGGAGACCTTTTAAGTATATACTCTTGAACAATATAAAAATTCAATATGCTTTTAACCTACTACCTGCCCACACCATTATATCCTCAGTCATATGGCTACAGTATCCGATTGGACCAAACTTGATACATAGTAATAATATTATCAAACTTAGATTGAGTTCAGTGATGGAAAATATCGGACCAATTGTTCGGGTACAAATGTCAAAATTCTCAAAAAAACACAACTAATAAAGTTGAATTCTTTGAATACCCTCCACCATTTGAAACGAATTCGGCAATTTTCAAAAAAATAAAATCCGTTAAAAATTCTGGTAAAATCTTAAAAATACCGAATATAGGGGTCATATTAGGGATTATACTACGATGTGGACCGGCATAGGCAACTTTTGTCATAAGCCATCACAATATTCAAATGCCAAACCTCAAAAAAAAAAAAATTGGTAAAAAATGTAGGTAAAATCATTAAAATACCGAATAGAGCTAGATACTATTATATGGGGGTTGTACCAAAACGTGGACCTGCACAGACAATTTTCTGGCATAGGCTTTTGTACCCATTACGAACCTTAAATACCAAATTTGAAACAATTTCGGTGAATAATATCGCTAAAATCATCAAAATACTGAATATCGGAAGGTACCATTATATGGAGGCTATATGAAGTCGTGAATCGGCACGGACAATTTTCTGTCATAGGCTGTAGTATCTATTACGAACTTCAAATACCAAATTTGAAACATTTCCGGAGAATAATTTCGCTTTAATCACCAAAATACTAAAAATACGGAGGTACAATTATATGGGGGCTTTACCAAAACGTGGTACTACATGGCCCATTTTCAATACCAAAAGTCCTGCAGACATAATATACATTTAAGTAAAATTTTATGAACCTACTTCATTTCGTTCGGGAGCTAGAGTGATTTCAACAGACAGACCGACCGACCGAATCGACATAGAATCTATGATTTGTGGGGCCTTAAATGTATATTTCGAGGTGTTTCAAACGGAATGACAAAGTTAATATACACTCCATACTATGGTGCATATCTCAATAACTTACCCAGTTATAGATCTTGTATATAAATGGCCTTTGTGGGAAATTCTTGTAACTAACATCTGGTTGAAATATTAAGATATATGTAGTTCAAAGAGTATCGATATATTATTTCGAGTTTTATGAGAATTATGAGTTATGCTAACGAGCGAGTAGGAGTGGTCTAACAGTGCGAGTTTTATACCATTGAAGAACATTCCGTTTGCAATGCCGCCAAATATTCGTCGTAGACCCCATTCATTAATGATTGGCTTAAAATTCTCAGTCATTTTAACAATGTCCGTCTGTCTTTACACGATACAATCCGCAATTTTTTACGAATTTTTTTTTTTTTTTTTTGAAGATTGAAGTCACATTTTGTAACAATTTTTTTTTTTTAAATTGGGTCTTTGTTGTTCATGGTAGGTCTAGATCCGATCGCAGAGCATTATATATAGCTCCATATTTTCTTATAGCATTCATACAACAGTACCTCCCAATATTGGGTATTTTGATATTTTTGATAATTATTTTAACGATTTTTTTTTCGTTTTTTGAATTTGGTATTTACAGTTTGTAATGAGTTTTACGTCTTGCGACATATCATTGTCCACATAGGTCCACGTTAGCCTATAGCTCCCATATAACGGTACTTCATGATATTCGATGTTATTTAGTATTTTAGTAGTAGTATTTCGACGATTTTAGATACAATAGTCACCAAAATTGTTTGAGATGTCGTATTTGAAGTTCGTAATGGATGCTACAGCCCGTGACAGAGAGTGGTCTATGCAGGTCTTCGTATAGCTCCGACATAAGGGTACCACCCTATATACGGTATTTTGATGATTTTAGCTACATTATTCGCCGTTTATTTCACGTTTCGAATTTGAATATGGTAATGGCTTATGAAAAACAATGCTTATGTAGGTCTACGTCGTATAGACCCCAATATAACGGATATATGCTTATATAGGTCAA